GCCAATGGTCTCAAAAGAATGAAAAAAATCATTTATAACCAATAAAGGCAGCTTTAAAACCTTTTAATAAGGTATCGATTCCCCTTAAATGTTAAGAGTAGGTCCACATTTGATAGCAAGTGATTCTCCCCAATTGTTTTTACACGCGTGATATTAAATTGAATTAATAGAGAGTTAGTAAATATTAATGCCAAATAGATTGATAAAAAAAAGGTAGATTGTCATTTTTTTGGTAAAAACTAAATGATTATCTTTTACTGATACTTGTTTACAAATTACACTTTTTTTCAAATTTGATAAAGTTTTCACTAATTATTTACATTATAACACCAAAAATTATTTTAATGAAAATATTTTGGTTTATGGTCTCATGATTCATAGTCATTCATCAAACTAAATGTATATGATAAAAGAACATTAACTAATGAAGCTACGTTCTTATCAATTTACTATAACATTTTAGCCTTTTAGGTTCTTGTCAATATAAATTAAGCTAAATTGTGGAAGCTTATTATATCAAGTTACACTATCTATATCAAATCTTTTTGGATGCGGTTTTTCTCCAAATCTTACGTAAATACAAAATACTTTATGAATCGAACTATTCGTCAATCACAAGCTAAGCTGAAGGGCTTCACATACCAAAAAATATCTCTATGTAATCAATAAATATCCAACTATTATAGTGATTATGTTAGGTATATATGATATGGTTTGCACTTTTCACTTTTATATCAAGTTTTTTTGTTTTGTTGTTGTGGCTTCTTTTAGTTGGTTGCATTTTGATTTATCATCCACACACAAATTGCAGCAATTAGCAATTGGATAAAGACATATACCATAAAAGTACAATAATCTAAATATTAATTTCGAGATATTTAGCATTGTGATTTTTAAATTTTGGATTATGCAATATGACATTTCACAATTTTAATGGAGATCCTACCTCATGAGATATTTTCTTCCCAAAATAAATAAATAAATATATAAACCTGTCCAATTCAATATTAATAAAATAATAACTGACTTTTGCATGACGTACCGTACCGTTATTTTAATCCTGATTAAATCTAACGAATTTTATGGATATTAGGGATTGGTCTACACTATAAATTACATGGTATATAATTAATTAGAAGCTTGAAGAAGCAATCCAACTTTTTTTATGCAATGAGGAACTTACTTATTAATATTGAAATTCATTTCATCATTCATGTTGTCACTTTTTTTTTGTGAAGCAAGCAAAATGCATACCTTTTCTATAGTAAGACTTTATTATATAATAATAAGACTATAAATATTGAATGTTATAGACGAATTCAAAATTTGAATTAATGTAATCAGTGGTCAAAAAGTATTAATATATGTGTTAGCGTATACGCTATCTCCTCAAAGTCTCAAACTCGTGAAATTATACTGACATATATATATATATTGCACGTGTATACATAATTCAAAATATAGAAATAGAATTCTGCTTGTTGCAGTACTCATACTATTATACAATTATATGTATATATCTTTGATTTGCTTATTTTGTGGATACCATTTTTCAAAACGCATTCACATTGCTCTTTGGTTTTCTTGTTGACGAGCTTAACTGATTCTTGAATTAGTTTTGGATATTGACAAATAATTAGGGTACAGATTTAAAGATGTCATCGAATTTTGAGAAAATATTCATCTATATTATCCATTAAAAGTTTGGCTCATGTATATGCCATTTCAGTATGAGAAAACATTTATCATATCATATTTGTTAACTGAAAATTTTAATTTATCAGTGTGTGAGGAGTATTAATATATTTGTTTGCATACATATTATCCTCATCAGACCCTACTCGTGAAATTATTCTCTATATTATATATGCACGTGTACTATATATAGTGTTTTTTACTTTATATATATGTGTACTATTATATATTCTTTGAGCCAAAGGCACGTAACATGCTAATTTGCTTATTTTGTTGATACCATTTTTCAAAACACATTCACATCGTCAAATTAGTTTATGAAAATATAATTCGTTCAACTCATTCAAATTCAACTAAATCTATCACTTTTGATTTTATTAACTCAATTCACCTCATTCGAGCGTGGTCAGTTAACGAGGTTATTTGCACCTTTTCCTCTGTTTCGTGTTGTCTTTAATTTTATGCATTTTCGCATGTCATAAATTTATATTTTTACGTCATAATATTTCATTATCTATGTCCCGTGCCTTTAAAGAACGTTTGCTCTGCTAGGCATAATTTTGATTTCGAAGGACAAAAATTAAAAACCAGCCAATTTAAAAAGCAAAAATTGAATACCGACTCATTCAAAAAGGCAAATCATAATCTATTGATTTATTAACTTAGCCAATTTTAACCCGTCCAAATTCGTTTATGTAAATTTCTTTTGCCCTTGATATTTTTCATTTTATGGTTCTTAAAAGTTGTTGTTGGTATTTTTCAATTAACGTCTTGATTATATTGCTTGCAAGCCATTCTATATTCTAACCAAATCTTGTTATTATATTAATATACCTTTATTCATTAAAGAAGCCAAAATGAACAAGGTAAAAGAAGAGTATACAAGTATACAACCGTTTCAATAACGGAAAAAATTTGTTAGAAGCATCATTATCTTCATGAACGGACTCCACAATACGTGATTCTAAATTTAGTTAACCCTAATATGAATTGAATATCGGATAATAAACAAAAATTTCGCTTCGATTGATTATAATTTTTTTTACGAAAGTAATCCTACCCACCATCAAATAAGACACGACCAAAAAAAAAAAGAATTAATAAGATTCTCACATATTTTCATTGACGTAAGGCAGGTCACTAAAAAAAGACTGATAAGCTTTTAGGTTGATGACAACTCTTGAAAAGAAATAAATATGATAGTTTAGATAAATTTCATATCGAAATGAGAAATTAAAGTGTAGTAAATTTCTTTTATTAAGTATAACACAAATCAATATACATAGAATATCACAATATCAAAAAAAAAAACATATTATAGGCTAAAACTTTGAGAATTTTTTTATGAATTTTGCTATCAACATCATCATAGTCTCAAAATGGAAATCAACCAACTATTACAATAAAATACTATTTTTATCAGACAAATATTCTTTTTTCATTTACAAAATGTAATGTCGCCATCTCCTTTTTGTAACCCCACATTCGAAAAGAAGACTATATTTTTAATTATTTTCCTTTGCTTTTTACCCGTTGAGATGAGAAGTATCATCTTCTAGTATTTTTCCTCGTGGTGGAGTCTGATATCGTATAAAAATTTGATTAAATTTAATTTATATATTATAAAACTTAATTTTTAAAAAGCGCTTTTAAGAAGAATTTTTTTTCACTGTCTCAATTTGAATAAAAAGTTTCTAATTTAAATGAAGAAATTTTTATCATTCCACCGCAATTTTTAATTTTAGTAATTTATGACATTTTTCCATTTGGAGACTGAGTGGACCATGGAGTCTTTTTATTTTTAGACTAGTTGTTCATTTGTTGGGCGGTCACCGCCAATAAGACTCGTAATAATTATGAATTCGATATATTGACGAAGTAAAAAATATTTATATAATTAAACTATTTAAAAAATAATTATAAGTAATTTTATTTAATAATAATAATGATATGTGATTTAGAATAAATAGTAGAAAAATGTTATTTTACGTTAAATTACATAGGGTAGAGTTAGCTAGGTATGTGAGGAAATTCTTCTGAATTCTTTCATCGTAATGTATATCGTAAATATAAAATATTAAATCCTCGTGAATTTCATATATTTCTATGAATTTAATTTTCTTTGTTTAAACTGAGGCTTTCTATAAGTTATTAAACTTAAAACGTAATTATGTAAATGAAAGTGTATATTTTTTTTATCAGTTTTAGATGAAATAATTATATATACTTTAATAATTTTATAAATGTTCAGAGTTTATAAATATATATTTTTTCTGTATATGCACTAATAACAGTTGATTCCTATTAATCTTTTATTTACATTGACCATCTAAAATTAGCTTATATTATGGTAACAAGATATGCTGTGTAGTAGTCAAGGAAAAGTGAAATCCACTAATTTTTATATATTTAAAATTTAATACATTTATTATAAAAAGTAATTTTAATTTATGTATCTATTATTACTTTCTTAATATGCTATACAATTTTTTGACAAACATTATTTAATTGACCACCTTTTCGTCAATGTAGCTAAGATATTGATAATTATGGTGCATTCAAGGGCGAAACTAGTAATCTACATACATGTTTGTCATAATCTAACAGATTTTGTTCAAACATATATTTGTATTAATAAATTTATTAAATATATATAAATATTATATTTAAAATTGATTATTATCACTTAAAATTATTATTATAAAATCCATAACCTATAAAATTGAATCATCTCTCAGTGGGGAACAAGATTTTTTTTTGTTGGCTTGAGGTTCCCATAAATGACTTTCAGTTTTTCTAGTTTTATTATCAGAATATATAACTTATTCCATTCACATCTTCATATTATTCATTATTCATACTTACCAGATCTGGAAATATGGATCATAAGGACAGTTGTGCTATCTCAATTTTTATTTTACTGTATTAAATTATTAAAATTAATTTTTAAAATTAAAAAAAAAAGTCGTTCTATTTTACTCGAATAATATTCAACATCAGTTCTCTTGTTTCAATTTGTGTGGCTTGATCGAATATAAAGGGCGAACTAATAACTAATATCCAATATGAATTCAAACATATAATTTTCAATTGTTAATAAAATTTGCATATTTAAAATTATATATAAAGTGCTATATGAATCACAATAGTTAATTATTCAAAATATTTTGAAATATCATAATTAAAAAAAAAGTTAACATTTTACTCGTTAAATAATAATTTGAACATATAAAGTTAAACATAAGAAATATACTATACATTATATTAATATGTATGTATCATAATAACAAAGTACAAGGTTATCATGGACATGAAGCCCTTCCAAACTCGTATTAATTATCAAATAACAACCTAATAAAAGTAGTTCCTAATTTGTCTGCTTTAATAGCTTCTTGAGCAAACAAAGAAGGAACTCATGTTAAATAGTCAAAAGAACAAAATTTCTTTTTCCTTGTTGCATCGTTTAGCTTATATAAGTCTGTTATCCTGTTCTGCTCCCTATAGTTATTGGTGCGTGTATACACCTATATACAACGTAAATACTATGAGAAGTTTCAAATACAACTAGGAAGGAGGTATATATGCTAGTAGAGCTCAAGCTTCGATGGGCAGAATTATCAGATATCTGTGTTGATTGAAGATAGTATAGATATCTGATAAAATAGTTGAACTGCACGCAAACAGACCCGAACAACTTAGTATGCTAGTGATCAAGTATTTCAGGTATAATATCAAGAATAGGCTTCCATCCTTTACCATTAGTTATTGTACTTTCTTCAACAATAGTAGTACTCTTGATCATATCATCAACTTTGATTATTCCACCTTCACTACTACTCAACAATTCTTGCAACTCTTTCTTAGAAATGACAATTTTAACCCTAATAACCTCTTTCTTTTGGTGATGATCATGATTAGCTTCTAATAATTCAACTTGATCAGTTGCAAACTTGACCTTCTCATGATCATTTACTAATTGATCATCATTTGCAAACTTGACCTTCTTTTTCACTTGATCATTTGCAAACTTGACCTTTTTCTTGGCTGATTTTGGAGGAGGTTGCTTTGGTAAACTAGGCAAAAGATAATAAATTTGGCCACCTAGCAAGTCATCATTTGGTTGAAGATGTTGATTTTCAATGACTTGATGGGAATTAGAAATTACATGGCTAGAAAATTGTGATAAAATTTGATGAACTTTGATGGGAGCTTTGTATTCAAGAATTTTTCCATCTGTTTTCATCACTTTTACAACTTTTTCTTGAAGAACTATGCAATTTCCCATTGTTGGTAATTGGTATATTGAGTATTAATGTTTGTTTGTTGTTTGGAGCATATAGTGGTGTTTGCTTTTTATAAAGAAATGATGTTTGTAAATGCCCCTTGGAATAGGGAATATTACTTGTATAACCTTTAGAACTTTTGGACCCCACCTAGTTGATTTTTTGTTGTTGATGTGTAATTGAGTGCTTATAATAAGAGTCTTAGAGTATCACTAGATTGATATGATTATGCTCTATTTGAAACTTTCTTCCCATTTACCTTTGCGAATAGGGTAAGAACATATTTAGAATTTAAATTTGATAAATTTAATATATAGGTTTTTATTGTCGATAGTTTTGAAATATGAAATCCAAATATAATATTTGCTTAAAATTAGATAGTTATCTATATTTTATGTTAGAAATATTGGATTAAGTTGAATCTATTGTTTACGCTCTCTATCCGTTAGTATTTATGATTAAACCCAATTGATAAAAAAAAAGGACATGCTATAGCTAGCTAGTTTACTTTTTTCTTTTTCCCGAGCCAATAGTATAGCGTTACTAATTACTTGTATAAAGAAAATACATATTTCATCTAACTAAACTTCAAAACTAACTCATAAAATAAGAATTACGCAAAATCATATAAGGGGATAACAATATATTCTCTCAACTAATATGAAACATTATATGTAGTATGTAATTGCATGTCCAAAACATTTTTTGGGGTGGTGGGTGGATGGGGTGGAGGGGATTTGGGGAGGGAGGATACAATGATGTTCGAACCTCGATTACTAAGGTGAAAGTGTGGACAGTTCGTTACGCCTAAAATTGTGTATAAAAAATTGACAATATATATTGCATAGGGAATCCGATCGATAACTTAACTCATGAGGTGGGGAGAAGAAGATGAATTACATATAAATTTGACTTGGTAAAACTTATTTGCCTCGCATGGGTTAAAACAAGAATATAATGTAACACTAGTAAGGGCCACTAAAACAATTGCAAGTGGTTGACTATTATATGCACCATAAATTGGTATACTTAGTTACCTAATTGGTACTTCATTGACTCCTCTTCTATTGCACAATTAATTGACTATTATTTTTCTTGTTTGTTTTTGACATAGTGTGACTGATATTTTGTGCAAAAAACTCGGTTTTGGCATCTAAATATATCATTGTTTTTCTCATTTCCTTTGTGATATTTTAATTTGTTAGAACTATAGAAATAGTTTATCTTGATTTTCTTAATATACTTTTTGTAATATAGGCACATTTGATCTTGATATTGAATCATATACCTCACTTTTGTAACATGATTCGGTCCATTGATTAGAGCGCAACACATTATATATGAGTTTGATGCATATTATAATATTTATGTGAAGACGAGTAAAAAAGGGATCTATTATCTATTAAATTTGAAATCATGCGTCCAGAAATTTCTCTATTATAAAAAAAATGTAAATAATCTCTTTTTTGGTTTTCTTTCGGGTGTCTGAAATCCATATTGAATCCCGATTAAATTTGAATTCGCGCAAAAAAGTTCCATATTGGAGGTAAAACACTCCCTAACAGAGGTAACTCCGTATCCAAGGGAACTATAACCCGAAACTTCTTGTTAAAAATGAAAAATACTTGCCACTCCACCATAACCCTGATTGGTAAAATAATCTTTACTATTAAGTAATGCATGAACGTGGACTTGAGTTAATCAAGTCTCTCAAGTTGTATGGTCCACCTAACTATTCACTATATTAACTAGTGGCTAATTAAACCACTCTTGCTATTTGCTAGGTTTAATTTATCAATCAATTAATTACCTCAAATAAAATGCTGATTAGGATAAGATTAATTAGTGGCATGTAATTATAACTTTTCCATTTTGGACTTAGCAAAATCATTAATTAATTAAAGACACTTTTCAAGCTTGATCCACACGCCTGAAAATGTATTTGATAATATGTAAGATGCTATTACATCTCTATTCATATTATATGTCTTTCAATATTCTTGATATATTTCTTAAGAGTTACATTTCATATATAACTTTAATCATAAGAATAGTTGTTTAAATTTCTGGAATGTGAAAGTTTGTCGAAACACTAATATTCGAAACCAAAATCAAATTAAGTTGTGAAGGAATAGTCGGTATATATATAGAATTGTCTTTAGTAGAAAACGTGTTACCTTAAAGTAGTTTGAGAGGTGTAGCTTCTATTACTACATATATTTAGTCTTTTAGTGATTTTCTTATACGAATTTAGATTAGTCGAGTTTCAAAATGGGTACTTACTGAACCCCCAAAGTGGGTTGAGAGATATAGCTTCTACTATGATCGATATTCAGTCTATTTGTAGTGATTTTCTGAAATGATTTCAGATTAGTTGAGATCTCAAAATGAGTACGTACACTAAATCGCTAAAGTGGTTTGAGAGATGTATCTCCTACTATAATGTTCAGTCTATTTATGACGTAAATCCAAATTAGTCATGCCAGACTGTACATATTGAATATTGGATGATTATTTCCTAAAAAATAAATCAAACAAAAAGGAGATATGAATGTGATTGAGGCCCACTTGAACATTAGAGAAATAGGAAAATAAAAAAAGTGAATGCATAGTAAACAAGTGCTTGATGATGTTATCAACACGCAAAACGCCCACATTCTTAGCTCCCCCAACCCCACTTATGTAAAGAAGGCTTTTGGGTATATATATATAGTCCTAAAATCATTGTATGTGTTTGTGAGTATACAACTATTTGGAGAGATTATTTTAGGTCAAAGACTTACATATATATTAATATTAAACGATACGAAAACTATACATTACATAGAATTGTTTTTTTTCATATGACTTATATTAAGTCTAACAACATTTTGTCTTGCAACAATCTGTGCCATCGTTGGTGACACATTTAAATAAACATTTGCAATATGAAGTACCATTTTTGTGTAACTTGCATATTGCACTATCGACATAATGAGGATATGCTCGTGGAAGACATGTTAACATACATTCAAGATCAGGATCACCAAGTTTGCAAATATGATTAATTTCACGATTGCATTCCAAAGTTGTATTTGTTCCATATATCATTGGTACAATTCTCATATCTGCATTCACAAAAATTAAAATAAGAATAACAACGATAATACTATATCAGTACTGTAATTTCATAAGTGGTGCCTGAAGAAGGTAGAGCGAGTGTATGGAGATTTTACCCTTACCTTATAGAGATAGAGAGGTTTCAACTTTCACTAGACATCCTTGTGTGATTTTACAAGTAATGTCTGAAGAGGGTACATAGTGTACATAGACCTAATTACCCCTACCTCGTACAGATAGAGAGGTTGTTCCAACAAAACCTGGTGTAATTTCATAAGTGATGTCTGAAGAGGGTACATATACCTTATACCCCTCTACCTCATAGAGATAGAGAGGTTGTTCCCAATAGACCTTAGTGTAATTTCATAAGTGGTGTCTGAAGTGGAAACATAGTGTACACAAACCTTACACCTATCTCGTAGAGATAGAGAGGTTATTTCCAACAGACCCTAATATAATTTCACAAGTGGTGTATGAAGAGGGCACAAAATGTACACAGACCTATACGCCCTACCTTATAGAAATACAGAGAGGTTGTTTCCAACATACCTTAGATGTGTAATTTCATAAGAGTTGTTTGAAGATGGTACATAGTGTACATAGACATTACCGCTATCTCGTAAAGATAGAGGGGGCAATTTCATAAGTAGTTTATGAAAATGGCACAAAGTGTACACAGACCTTACTCCTACCCTTATAAAGATAAAAGGTTGTTTCCAACCAACCCTCGACTTAAAATAAAGCATATCCAATCAATTAGAGAAAGGAGATACATAAATAATATAATTGAGATATACCTGATGCAATAGCTATAGCAAGGAGGACAAACAATAAACCAAGAAACTTTGCCATTTGAAATCTACAATATTCTTCTTCTTCTTTTTTCCCTTCTTTTTGGGTTGATGAACTCTTGACTTGGGATTCCTTTTTATACTTGATTTTGTACTACATTTTTGGTATATAATTATTATAGTTATTAGAATACTATATATGGTTATAGCCTAGGAGAAATGAATGAATTTTGGCATTTAATTATTTTAGCATTTATGCATATAAGAATATGCAAATAATTATATTAATTATAAACTTTATATACAAACAAGTCAAAGTTTTTTGTTTTTTTTAATTATTTTTTCAAAAAAGTTTAACCTTATCTTGTGAAATATGAAATTAATTCATGGATCGTCGTTAGACTAGACTTCTATTGCAACAAATTATAAAATAAAGTTTTTATTCACGAGACCATGAAGTAGATTGATCTATAGTCCGTAGACAAAATCCCTAAACGTGAGACAGTAGCTATGTTTTATGAAATTTAATTCACGAGCTCAATTATCCACGGTCGATGGTCTGATTCATGACCCATGATTTGAGTTCGTGAAACTCATGTTAAAACTTACGTTTCTAAAGTTTGATCCATGAGTCCAATCTACGACCTGTGGTCTGATTCACGATTCGTAGATTGTGTCTGTGAAACTCAAGCTCAGATTCTAAATTTGATCCTTAGTTTGGAATTTTTTGAGGTGTAACAATATATACCTATTTCTTTGTTTTGGGTCAAGTCCCGCACTATTCTCTCAAAAAAATAAAGTTGAGAATATATATAATTATTTATAGATATCATTTTGAGATCAAAGGCTTATATATTAATAAACTATATGAAATGTATGGATTACATAGATTTTCATATTACGAAAATTAACTCATGTAACATTTTCTTGAATCCACAACATTAATAAGGTGCAGGTTCAGATATTTTTGCAATCTTCAATTGTTCATCTTGATGTATGTCTTCGTTACAAGTATATTCACATCTACAACATGTAGAACCATCTTCGCGTGACTTACACCAAAAATAATCAACATGAGCAACTACTGCATCTTCACATGGTTTCCTACATTGACCTTCATGT